GGGGTGCCCATCATTGCCACGAAGTATAACATAGAGCTGGAAAAGTGACTATGGAGTTCAGTACTTTCATGATCTTTCATGTGTTTATTATTTGACTTCTAACCCACCATACCTCTGGTCTGTTCAACTGCATACTTAGGATAGGAAATAGTAATTAAAATTATTTATTTATTTATTCGATTTCTTTTTTTTTCCGTGCTGCCCCACGCACCCCGCACCCACTTACCATTGCAGCCTGCTTCTCCTCGCTGGCTCACTTCTGCAGCATCCCCCAGCCTGCATTTTGTGAAATACAGGCTGGGGGATGCCGCAAAAAAAGTGGGCCAGTTGGCCAGGTCTGTCGGTGCCGGAAGTGAGTGGAAAAGACACCCCCCGAAAATAAGACCTGGTGTCTCTTTTGGAGGCAGTAAAAAAAAATAAGTCCAGGTCTTATTTTCGGGGAAACACGGAAGTAGCAAGCACTTTATGATATGATGTATTTTATGAATTAAAATATTTTACTATAGAAAGGTTTCTACTTAGGTAAAGCACTCCCCCCCCTTGAAGTTAACTCCTGGAGTTTTCTTGGCAATAATATGGAAGTCATTTCCCATTGTCCTTTCTGGATTTATTTTTTATTTCTAAATCTTATATATATCTGGGTATTTCATGGCAGCCCAAGTATCTGATCCTGTTTAGCTCTTTCAAGATCAGCCAAGGTTGACCAAGTGCTGCCACCTGGTGTGTGTTTCTCCTAATTATTGCCAGAATTTGCTTTGCTACAATTTTCATTATTTGGGCTTCCCTCCAGAAAAAATAGAGCAGTATAATGATGCTTGGGTTGCCATGTAACTAGAATTTTGGGACGATCTATTTCCTGTTCAGTTAGTGCTGCTGCAGGATGTAGGGTCAGTTTATTTCTGCCACAAGCCTGAGATTGAAGTCCTGACAGAAGACAAAAAGATTTCTCCTGATGCCCAGACTTAAGAGACTAGAAAAGAAATCTGCTCAGTTACATTAGCTTACCCTGGGGGGCTGTAACATTACTTCTGTGGTAGTTTGAATTAGGAAAAGAAAACTCCTGAGTCAGTAATATCTTCAAAGTAGCATAATGAATCAGATTGGGAGGTCTAGAGAAAGCCCAAGGGAAGAACCGGTGGGTGGGTAGAGCTAGACAGAGTAATGGTGTGTGAAATTCAGTGCCTAGGAATGCGTTTTATGTAGGTCATTGGAACAAACTCAATCTTAAGAAATTTGTCTGACTCTATGGTGGTGTAAATTTGGATTAGCCTGGCAACAATTTAAAGCAACACTCTGTTAGATTAGATCACTCTCACTTTGTTCTGGTGTAATAATTTTTTTGTGAACTTAAATGGATATTCATACCTGATTAACCCGTAGATGGGTTAATCAGATTGAGCAACCTTTATGTATAGGTAGGAGAGAATGAGAACATCATTTTATGACACACATGGGCAATTTAAAGCCCTAAGACCAAATTCAGGGCCAGAGGCATCCCCGGGAGAAGCAAAGAAGTCAAGATGGTGGCAATATGATTGAAACTCTGCCACACAAGTGAAAAGAGGGAGATGCTTTGATCACACCATCTCAGTTGCTATCCTAACGTTTAGATATTCCAGTTCTGGAGCATCTTTTGTTTGTACTGTTCTTTGCAGTTGCTAAAGTGGGTGGCACATTTTGAACTACACCCGTAGGGTAACCCTTCAGGCTTAATGTAGTTTTATTTTTAAATAAAAGGACAAAATAGTTTTTCAACCCAGAGAAAAAGGGAAAACTCTGGCCTGCCTACTTTTTGTCATCACACCACTTCCTGGAGCTGGTTACTAAAGCTCGTGTCTCTTCTCTCTCTTGTTCTGTGTGTTTGATTCCAAGTAGTTCTACAAAAGTTATTATCACAAAATTATTCCATTGACTATAATAGGGATAGACAGAAACCAAGCTTACATTATGTGCTTTTAAATCTTTTCTTCACAAATCAAGGCAATTGGCAGCAATGACATACATAATGGTAAATCAGAATATATATATATTTTTAAAAAAATCTACAAGCACATAAAAGAGTTCCCATTTAATTCTATTTCTGGGATTGATTATTTCACATACATTCTACAAAGGATAGAAGTCCTTTTACAATGTGTATGTTGATCCTTATATCATTGCTTGTATTTTTATAATGTTACAAACCCCTATGGAAAGATACACAGAATTGTTTGGGAGGGGCATTACATTTGCAAGAGAATAAATAAAACAATCTAGCATCTTATGGAGTTTTATCTGTCACAAACAATACTGAATAGATTTCTTTTTTTTCTTTGTAAGCTTTCTATCCTACCTTATTAAGTGTGGGGGCTCAGAGCAGTATACATAATGTTCCTTCCTGTTATTTTGTCCCACGAAAACAATCCCATGAGGTAGGTTGGATTGAGAGCGTGACTGGCCCAGGATGAGCTTCTGTGACAGAGGGTGGACTTGAACCTGCGTCTCTTTGCCCCTACTCCCAACTCCTTAACCATTCTACCACATTGGCTCTTATCCTGCCTAGGTTAATGTTGTGGCCTGCACAGCTGCTGCATTTTTCACCATTTGTCTGCCTTCCTAAAACTTTGGCAGGATGTGAAATATAAAATGTACAGTGGTCCTTAAACGTTTTGTGAATTAAATGTTCAGTGTATCTGCATAAGTATGACCTAAAATGTGATCTGTTCTCTACATGACCCAAAACTAGATAAAGAGAACTATAATTTCCCCTTCCAATGAACTGATAACCCTAGAGATTCACATACTTTCCCCCCATACAAATATGCAGCTTTTGATTATTTTTCTCGATAAATATATGAACAAGTATGGTTTAAACTCATTCTTTTAATACAATTTTGTCAGAACAATGGAAACTGATTTAAAGGGGCTCAGTAAATAAAATACTTTTATCTGATTCTTGTAAAGAAAATAAATTTGGTGTTGCTTTAGTCTCTTGGGAAGATAATTCAGAGATGGGGTAAGAACAGAATAACAAGATGCCTGAAATTTGAATAAAGTTAGTTTGAAAGTTAACATACTTTTATATAGTTCTATGATTATACCTTGTGTGATTTGCTGATATTTGTGCATGGTAGGAAGCATCAAGTTGACAGCCCTATTTGTATTTGTCAGATCCTTTTTCTTAAAGGGAAGAAAGAGAAAGAGAGCAAAAGAGTCCTGTTGACCCCCATCTTTCTGTGACAATGGTGTATTTGTCTTGAAGGCTATTTTATAGTTTGATAGTAGTAGGTAATGGAAAGGCTACAGTGATGGAAGACTTCGACTAAAATAGGTAAATATGTAAATAGAAGGGAAATGATGTAGCCAGAGATGTAGACACTTAAACTTGGAAACGTAGATCTGCATGTCCTGTCCACTATTCTTTCTGGGAAAGAGTAGAAACCCATGATGGCAATAGCTAACCAAATGCTTTACTAGGAGGCCCCTTCCTCTTGGCCTTATATTTTTCTGCCTCCACGTACATTATTTTGGATGCCGGTGGACAGAAAAATCCCTTTGGATAGACTGGTGAGGTGGATTATAAATATTCTTATATTTTTCTGCTTCCACATACATTATTTTGGATGCCGGTAGACATAAAAATCCCTTTGGATAGAGTGGTGAGGTGGGTTATAAATATTCTTTTAGCTATATTTTGTGCTCTAAATGGATTAGAAAAGGATGAGAAAACGTGTTGATGAAAAAAAATGAAGGTCTGTTATCATATTCCAATTTTGACTTATTCCTGTATAATACTGCTTCCTTACACAAAATATAATTAATATACAAATAAACTCTCTCTCTCTTTCTACATATAAACATACACAGAGACAAACACAAAGTTACATATATGCATTATAGAATTAATGATACAAACACATTCATGAGAAGAATTATTCATTGCAGCCAAATAGATCCTTTCTGCTCATGGGTACTACAGCTTTTGAATTCTGAATGGCTCAGGAGCAAGAGATGATAGCTTTCTTTATACTTATTTGGTGGCTTTCCCCAAACATCTGACTGAATCCTTTGGGAACGGTTCTTAAGTTACCTGGTACTTGCCAGAAGTCTCCTGGCTAAAATCTTCACCCAGGAATGTCATAGCCATATTTGCTGGGACCTGAAAGTTATAGTTAATGGTAGTTATAGGTCCAATATTTCTAGACGGCATCAAGTTGTGAAAATGTAAATTCCCAACATTTAGAAACTGCCCATCTCCCTCACAGATCCCCCTCTCTTTGGGGGACGTCTTTGATTATTAGATTTATTTCCCATCTTTTGTTCAGGAGCTTAAGGAAGTATTAATAGTGTTCCCTCCTCCCATTTTGCCCTATGACAACAACCCAATGAGGTAGGTCTGGTGACTGAGAGTGTCTATCCCAAAATCGCCCAGCAAACTTTCATGCTAAAGGTTGTCAGCCCAACTTCTTAAGCACTACGTCATACTGGTGTTTCTTAAGTTTTAAAAAGTCCCTCTGTGAGGGAGATGGGCAGTTTCTAAATATGATTGATAAACAAACAAATAAACACATTGCGAAGTTGTATCTAATTGTATGAGTGTAGCATTATTGTTTAAAATGGCTTTTTCTTGTTTGTGATGATTTTAAGATTAGTTTTTGATATATCCATATTTTTTTGAAATATCTTACATTGCTGACTTCCTAGATACTGCATGATCCTAAATAATAAAAGTCACTTCTTATACAGTGCTTTATTTCAAATATAGAAACTCCTGCAACTCATCCTATTTACATTGTCTTACTTAATTCTTCCCTCATTGACTTCTAACTTCTGACAGTGGTTGAAGGCAATATTGTTTGAACAATTTCTTTAAAATAACTTTGAAAAACCCGCTGTAACAAAGTGGAGGGATAGCATGTCGCTGTAATTGTTTTGAAAAAGCATCTAACATACCTTGTCAATTAAAGTCAAAGGGTTCTTAGCAACAGCACATGCTAAGAACAACTTGTCTTGCTTCCCAGGTGGTGCAATGGCTCAACAGGTTCCTGTGCAAGCCATCCAGGTGCATCAAGCCCCCCAGCAAACGTCTCCTACAAGCGACAGCAGCACTGACATCACACAGACCTCTTCCAGCGGGACAGGTAGGCAACCAATTACCCCTAACTCTCACTTTGCAGTTTGGGGCCAGGAGCTCTCCAAGGTAGTCCACGAGAACTCAACTCCAAGAAGTTCAATGCAGGTAGTCCTTGGGTTATGACGGCAATTGAGACTGGAATTTCCATCACTAACCAATACAGCTATAAAGTGCAATGTGACATAACCATATTGCTTAGCGACAGCAATCCTAGTTGTTGTTGTAACCCCAGGAACTATGTGGCTCGTTAAGCAAAGATCTTACATGACTGCATTACTTAGTGGCGCTGCAGTTGTAACCTCAGGATCATGCAGGTCATTAAGCAAGGACCTTATGTGACCTGTGACATGGAAGAAGTGGGAGTCCCAGTCAAGTGGCCAGTGGGTAAGAGCTATGGTCAGGCAGCTACTGTGGAGAGGTGCTATGGAGCATGGCCATACAGAGCCTGGTGGGCAAGTGAAAAAGTGGCAGGAATGGGAAACACTTGCTGGAGTGACTGCTGGCTTTCTCATTGACTTTGTTTGGGGGAAGACAGCAGGGAAGGTCACAAATGGCAATCACTTGATCACAGAACATACTGCAAGTATTGTAATTTTGAGTTGGTTGCCAAGCACCCAAACTATGATAATGTGACTGTGGGGATGCTGCAGCAACTGCAGTTTAGAGGTCACATCTTATTTAGTGCCATTGTACCTTTGAATTATTGAACTGGAGGACTATGTGTAACAGTGGTGAAAATTTTGCAGAAAATTTTAGAGACAAAACAAGCAAAGCCTCCAGTAGGCTACGCACATGTATACAAATTTTTCAAAACTTTCTGTGCCATCACCCCATTGTCACAAAGTAAAATGAGTTGGATCAAAACTGCCCTCGTTTCAATCACATTTGCTTAAAACAATATGTCATCAATGTTTCCTAATGCTTAGGAAGGAGGACCAGACTTCCTGTCTTTTGGGGCAAAAGCCAGATCTGTAATCAGTAAGTCAAAATTTCAAGATAGCAATTAAGTCCTAATATGGTTTGATGATGGAATCTGGGAAATGAATGACTCTACTTTGCTTGAGGCTGAAGAGCAGGTTATCCTGGTTATCGTAGTTGATGCATTTCTTCAAATTTTATAATAATACAGTATTTTCTCCCTGCTCCCGGTAGGGGAAGGTAGGGGTAGAATGTGCTTTTTAATCTTACGTTTTTACAATAATAGGAATTTACTCTACATTAATAAACACTCCAGAAGACAGGCTTAAGATACAGAAGGATCTGGACAGACTTGAACACTGGGCACTATCTAACAAAATGAAATTCAATGGTGAAAAAAGCAAGGTTCTACATTTAGGCAAGAAAAACCAAATGCACAAGTACAGCATAGGTGGCACCTTGCTCAATAGTAGTAACTGTGAGAGGGACCTCGGAGTCCTAGTGNATGTTGAGACTCTAGAAAGAGTACAGAGAAGAGCAACAAAGATGATTAGGGGACTGGAGGGTAAAGCATATAAGGAACGGCTGCTGGAATTGGGTATGTCTAGTTTAATGAAGAGAAGGAAGAGGGGAGACATGATAGCAGTGTTCCAATATCTCAGGGGCTGCCATAAAGAAGAGGGAGTCAAGCTATTTTCCAAAGCACCTGAAGGCAGGACAAGAAGCAACGGGTGGAAACTAATCAAGGAGAGAAGCAACCTAGAACTAAGGAGAAACTTTCTGAAAGTGAGAACAATTAACCAGTGGAACAACCTGCCTCCAGAAGCGGTGAATGCTCCAACACTGGAAGTTTTTAAGAAGAGACTGGACAGCCATTTGTCCGAAATGGTATAGGGTTTCCTGCCTGAGCAGGGGGTTGGACTAGATGACCTTCAAGGTTCCTTCCAAGTTTACTGTTATTATTATTAATTCTTCTCTTGAGCCAAAGTTTATTATTGTCCATGAGGTTATGATCTTTTATGTCACTAGTCACTTGTCCAGTTAGTAGTGATAAGTCAGCAAAAAAAAAGTTAGCAAAAGTATACTGAGAATACAACTTTAGTGCCATCTAGTGAGACTAGTAAAATATATCCAAACTTTTTTCTATTTTTTAAATGAAAATTATTTTACAAAGGTAAATAAACCAAAATCTATTGTATGTCAAACCTGATTCCTGGGGGGCTTTATGGACGTATGTGTAGTTTTCACAGCAACAGCGTGGAGATATGGTTCATTGTCTTCCAGGATGACATTTGGGTATTGATGTTTTAACTTTGCAGTGTAATTATTGCTCTAGAGCAGGAGTAGGCAACCTTGGCTCTTTTATGACTCGTGGAATTCAACTGCCAGAATTCCTGAGCCAGCATAGCTCAGGAGTTGAAGTCCACGAGTCATAAAAGAGCCAAGGTTGCCTACTCTAGAGGTTTGGTCTCCCATCCAACATTAACCAGGTATAACCAAGATCAGACCATCCTGATTGCTTGGTGATGTTCCTGTATGATTGGCTTTTCTTAATCTGATACAGATTAAGAAAAATATATGTTCTTATATGTTTTTTCTTATTCTGGTACAGATCACAAAGACTGAATTTGGTTTCCCTCCCAAAACTATTTTATTATACAGAATTAAAGTTCTGTTCCTTATTTCTATTCTTAATTGGTAGTGCTATTTTTTCTACATTAATTGTTTCTTAGGTTTTTAAAGTTTTTCTTATTTCCCAAGTCCTCAGTTCTTGTAGCCAGTCTTAGTCTTTTTGCATGTAAAACCTACTATAGATTTGTGAATGCGGCTTTTCTCTCCCCCCCAGCACTCACAGTTTTTCTCTCAAGATTTGCTGTTTGTGTTGGAAATTTCTTTCCCCCTTCTCTGCTGTCTTCCTGACTTGATTTCTTTTTTCACCATACACATGCTTGACTTCTGGTCTGTTAATGGGTCAAACTCTCCAGTTAAGGAGGGTGTGTGGCTGTTCTAACCCTGATTACAGAGCAGCATCAAATATACAGTCCCCTATTGTATATTTTATACATTGATACTTTATTTTTAGAAACAATTTTCTATCCATGTCTAAAAATAATATGTTCTTTTTAACAATAATTTTTAGTTCTGCTAAAAAAAATAGCTTCCCACCCTTCCCCTCAAAAAAAGGAAAAGAGATCTGATCTTGGAATATGAAGGAGCAGCCTTATTTTCAGACATACATCACATCTTTTCAGATATATTGAAAAACTGTAGAATCTGTCTTCTGTCATGCATTCGGAAGCCTTTGGACAATTTTATCTCCTGGCAGTAGGATTTTAGACTGTGGCGAATGTACATGATAAATTTGTACTGGCTCAGAGATCTCCTAGAGTAGGTTTTACCCTGTATAACTCTGCACACACCTGATAGAAGTATGAAGCGGTCCTGCTTCTGCAGGTAAGATAGCGAAAGCAAACAGATGTAGCATCCAGCTATTTCAGTTGTGTCTTTTCTTTTGTTTTGCCAGTGACCCTGCCAGCTACAATCATGACTTCATCTGTGCCAACCACTGTGGGAGGCCATATGATGTACCCCAGTTCTCATGCAGTGATGTATGCTCCTACATCGGGTCTCACGGATGGTGGGCTTGCGGTTCTCAATGCCTTCTCTCAGGCCCCATCAGCAATGCAGGTTTCACATGGGCAAGTCCAGGATCAGGGTAAGACTGGACCCAGATACGTTTGATTTTGAACATCCTACATTGCTTACTGCCCGTCTGACGTCTCTTTCTCTAGCTATACATATACATAGCATAAAGCAACATTTGGTTCTCAACCATTAGAGTGCTTCCGGTTCAGAATGGCTACCTTACTGCATCTGTCAGAAACTCCTTAAGCGATCCATGCTTTTTCCTCAGCTGGCACAGTAGTCATATGAACTCGGGAAAATAGATGTTTGAGATGTATTACCTCTATAATAGTCCTGGGGTTCAAAAGAATATTTTACTGAGCCTAGAAACAGACACTCTCTTCTCTATTTGAGGAACAAATTTGCTAAAATGTGAGAATCAAAAGTAGAAACAAGGAAGGAAATCAAGAAAGAGGATCCTTTTCAGTCAGCTTGTTAAAGTTTAATAAAGATGAATAAGGGATGTGATCTGAGAGCAGATTTACATGCAGATATGATGTACATATAACTGCATGTACTGTATGTATACATCATATCTGTGGTGGCTTTGAGTTTTAGGCAACAATTCAGGACAAGCATTTGATTGAGGCTTCCTTATCCTGTTTATGGTGATCACAATGGCTTCCTGCCCCAATTTTGGTAAAAACCCCAACTCTTGAGTTCCCAAAAGAAATGCTGATCATTGCATAGGCTGCTGGGATATATATTATAAAAGAATGAATAAAAATGATTCCTAAATCACTCCAGAGTCTATTCTCTTAGTGAGGTTTTTATGTGAAAGGAATTAGGCTCATATAGTGCATTAATACATGAATTATTTAAACTTCATATATTGAATTAATTCCAATTGGCTAGACAGAGCTACCCAATATGCAACACTAGAAATCTTGCTTTATAAACCACAGTGGCTAGGTTCACATAACAGATTAAGCCTTTTTTAAAAAAACAAGTATCTGTAGACTATTTTTTTTGTTCTGTAAAAACATAGCTTGCTCTGTGAGTTATTTGGTTTTGATAGCAGTAGTTCATTTTTTAATTTCCTACTGTGATTATGCCTGCATAATCTAGAGTGATCAAGGCTAATTTTGGAGAATGATTAGTGTACATCTGTCACTTTCTCTGGCAGGTGGAGTCCCTCAGGTATTCCTGACAGCTCCGTCAGGAACAGTTCAGATCCCAGTCTCAGCTGTTCAGCTTCACCAGGTAGGTACAAAACAACCTTGTATTTTTCTTTTCAACTTTTACCCTGAGGCTGCAGTCATTTTACTGAAAATGAGATACACTAGCAGGAGTAAGTATAGTATAAACTTAATTGTAATTGTGCTTGTAATTATTTTGTAGCATCTGATGTTTTTTTACCTTAGTTGTTCAAGACATGAGGATTTCAAGCTTCATGTTCCACTTACAGAAGTGTTGTGAGCAGATGTTCAGTTTATTAACAGCAGCTCCAGTCAAATTTATACTGAACCTTCTGAGCTTGTATGACATGTGCTGCTCATTTAATATAGAAACATGGCTTTTGGGCATCAGTATTTTTATGTGTCATTGACTTTTATTAATTGTGATATGTACAATGAGGTTTCATATGCCTTGAAATTCTGAAAGGTAGTTTTGAAATGTAAGTGAAGAAAGTAAGTTGTGATTACTTATTTGTGAGACCCAGGAGCAGAAGAATATTTGATGTTCGCCCATAAGAGACTGTTCCTTTCATTGGTTCTTTTCTCTGTGCAGATGGCTGTCATTGGTCAGCAGAGCAGCAGCACTGCCAACTTGACAGAGCTGCAGGTGGTCAACTTGGAGACATCACATGGTTCCAAGAGTGACTGAACAACTTTGGGAGGGACCTGGTGAGGGAAGGGGAAGAAGTGTGTACCCAGCACCCCAACATGAACCAGCAGATGCCACCGCCGCCGCCTCCAGCTTTATGCTGCATCTGGCCCTGGATCTATGGCACTCCTCAAGCTGCACGAGGATCTCGGCAGTCCCTATTTTTGTATGGACTCCATCACTTATTTATTGTTGCCTTTGACACGTTTTCTTCTCACACTTTATACTGACACATACACCTCCACACACACAAAAGCACCCACAGAAGTACATAGATGCATATTAAAAGTGGCTGCAAGGCTAGCAGCAGGAAGCTGAGTCTGGGCTGTACGGGGACTTTGTTACACTGCATTTACTGTTCTTTTTGTTTATTGTTTGGTTTTCCTATTTGTTCCAGCCAAAGAAACTTTCTCTCATGAGTGGGAGAATTTGCTCTGCCATGTATAAAACTTTCCATCTGTTTTCATTGCCAGGGAGGGAACTTTTTTCTCTCTTTGCCTTGCTGCTTCTGATACATAAGAATGTCCTTGAATGTCCTTAGTTTGTAACCTCTAGGCAGAGCAATTGAGGCTGTGGGAAGAAGCTGCAGTCCAGAAGACTATGAAGCCATTCTGAAAAAGTTAGTCTCTTTTCAGGCATAGCCCTGATATCCTTTTACACACACAAACACACACACACACAGAGTTGGGACAGTCACCTCTTTCCCCTCCCCCATTCCAGTTCAGGTCACTTCCTGGCTGCAGCTTTGTGCCTTCAAGCAATCCATGATGCATTGTGGGTTGGCTTGCCTTTATTCTTGGCTGGCAAAGAGAGGGTTCTTCCTGTTGGCATTCCAGCTGGAGCAACTGAGCATCTTGGATTTCCTTTTACCTTTAAAGTATCCCTCCCTTGGAATTTCTTTTTGTTGCATAGGAACTGACTTGGAGCAGCTTCTTGCCCATTTAGTCTGGCTGTATACACATCTTGCAGCCCAAACAAGAATTGTTTACCCATTTCCCTTTTTTCTTGGAAACACACTCAGCAACTCATAAGCCCATTAGCAGATCTCATTTTGTGTAATGCTTGAGTTTTGCTGAATTTTTTTCTTCCTGACAAGGAAGAGCTACAGTCATGTTATAATTATTATTATTATTATTATTTTAATTTTGGAAGGTATAAAGAAGCCTTCCCCACTGGTGCTCTCCAAGATGTATTGGGTTCCAAACTCCATATCCACTAGCTTTTGGCAATGCTGGGAATTGTCGACTAAAAGATTGGAAAAGGTTGATGAAGGCTAGTGCTAAGCAATGAAGTTGGAAACAAATAAGGGTCGTTTAAGATAAAGTATTTAAACTTAACTCAGCAGGCTTTCCCAAGGCAACTGCATCCATGGATGAAATATAACTAGTTTGGGATACAATAATGTAACATAGCCTATGACATTCGTTTGTTTCTCAGATAGCCCTGGAAATGAGATGGTATGTTGCGCCACCATCATGAAGCATGTTTGACCTGCACCTGCAAGGCCTTCAGTCTGGGAGTGGGTAGATGGCATGGGGCAAGCTTAACCATAGAGCATTTGTGGTAAAGGTTCTTCCTATTTTTTGTGAAGCCACTGTTGTGTCCACAGTGAAAATTTTAGAATTTTTTTTATGACACTTCAAACAGGAGGTTCTGGAATGAATAAATATTGTAACACATTTAAAGGGGGAAGCTGCAGGACTGCTAGTCTGAAATGGAGAATGGAAAGAGATGCGGAATAGAGAGGAAGGGCTGGGATATTGGATCATTTGTTTGCACACAATCATGCATGTCATTCAGCCCAGGACAGGTCAGTGGTTCTTATAAACCCCCCCCTCCCAAAAAAGGCCAGCTTTGGATTAAGGAAGCTGCAGACTTTTACAGAAAGAAAGCAGCTATTGTAAGTCCTTCCTTTCTTTTTTTTAATTAAAAGACAAAAGAAGCCTTGAAAAAAAAGACTTTATTTTTCTAAGTGTTAAACTCAGTATTTATGTAATTCTTAAAGGAATTAAAGTCTGGCTCCTATACAGTTTTCATGGGGTTTGTAGTTGGGGTGGGGGGAAATGGGCCATGGGGCAGGGATGAAAAAAAAAATGAAAAGAAAGGGGCCTTTTTAATTTGTATTGTAATATTCTAAAATTGTTTCCATGAACATTAGCGTTTAAACATGTCTCTGTCTCTCTAGCACTTGAATCATGCTTTGGTGGAAAAGTTGCACCAGTGGTGAGGAGAAGGCTTATATTAGGTATCCAAAAAGTACTACCTGAAAGCCACATGCAACTGCATCAGCATTCCCTTTATAGTGCCAGAGTGACACTCAGAATCGATAGAACCAAAGTGTTGGTCCATTTGTCTGTTCTTGAGGCAAAGTGGAGATCTTTAACCCTGTGGATGCTTAAGGCATCTATTTGCCATCTTAAAAAACCTTGCATCCTTTTCTAAAACGGGGTATGCTCCTTCCACTTTGGGATGCAGAGATCAATACAGTATGCCACACAAATCCTGGGATGGCCATCAAGCCAAACTGAAGCTGTGTACTACTTTTCTTTTGTTTGCATCTTCAGCCCACGTGGCCACATTATAAAAAGGTACCCAAGCTCCATCAAATCTGGCTTATATTTAATTCAAAGAAAGCATTAGGGTAACGTGTTTAAAACCTTCCATGATAGCTTACATTTTAGAATATTTTTTTGTTTTTGTTTTAAATGTCAGAAAACATTGAAAAGTGTTATTTCCCCAATTAGTTGCAGTTTGAAAGGATGTGGTTTATTCAGTTCTTTTGCTTTAAATGTATATTACAAGCAATCTGAATTTACTGGTACTTCTCCAGCACTAGCTTCAATAACGAAATTTCCAAGACTTGTGCAAAAGTATCCCCTTGTTTTAAACCTCATTCCTTTTTTTAGATAAAGTGCAGATTTTTTAACCTTCTTCATTAAATCAGTGACATGAGAAAGAAAGGCAGTCAAGGCAGCTGGATGATTACTCTCTGCCCTCTAGTCTAGAACAGATATACTTTATGGCAAAAAGATTGCTTGGTTAGCTGTCTCCTTTCATTATCAGCAATAATGGAAAAAATGATTTATATTCAGTGATGTCTATCCACTGATGAAAACATTTGCCAGCAATCTTCAGCAACCCCTGTTTTCCCCCCAATTCTGATACGGAGTTTGAAGGATTTACCACACAAATGGAACTTAGCTATACATTGATAGCTGTTTTCTGTATGTGGATTGTTTTTTTCTCCAAGAGGGAATTTCTCAGCAATTAATAGGAAGCTGCTTGGGATAAAGGCACATCTGCAAAACAGTAATTCTTGAATCATGTTACTAATTCAAAAATCTTCCGCTGAAATAGAGACGAGAGGCTAAAATCAAGAATTTTTTTTGATAACTGTACTAATTTTTTCTGATACTGTACTAATTTTCTGATTGGGGATTCTACACTTGATACTCATCCTTCACATCAAGGAAGTTCTCCCTCCTACAAAAAAAGCACCTGCAGGTTAAACGCTAATGTTGCATGTGATTAAAGTGTTGAATTGTAAGAACACTTATCAGGGATGAAATGGCATTTATTGTGTGGTGACATTTTTAGTTCACTTTACAGATTGTTTTTGGATTTTTTTTGTGTGTGCACGTGCGTGCGCATGTGTGGGCGTGTGTATGTGTGTGTGTGAGTGGCTGTGTGTGTGTGTGTGTGTGTGGTTTGTTAATTTCCAGGGTTGTGTTTCTGGAAGGATGTGACAGTAATCGCAGTACTATGTACAGAGCTTTCTTTTGTATTAAAAAATAATCTTTCAATAAATGTATCATTTTGTGCACAAACTTTGTGTCTTAAGTATTGCTTCTTTGACCAATAGCTGCCATGAGTCCTCTGGGAGTGTGCCAACGAGAAATATGATAAATAAAGATTGGAAACAAGTAACTGCTTGCAATTATCTGTGATGTTAACAACATACTAGTAAGAACATAAATATTTCACAGTAGAGGAGAAAAAGGAGATCAGTTGAGATCTAGGAGGGGGATTTTGCCTGGCTCATGTTTAAAGTAGTGTGAGACAAGATGTGTAATCCATAGGTGATAGATAAAGTCTCCATGTCAAGTCTACTTTTGATAACTGCATGGCAAGAATGTAGAAGTGGCTCACTATTATCCCGGTATACTTTTCAGTCTCCAGCTTCCACAACCTTGGTATCAGCTCTTCGTGACAGATCAAGTTAAGAAACAGATACCTTAAAAACTGTACGATTCAACTGAATTTTGAAAGCTTTATAGCATCTCTTCCGGCCCTTCTTAAAGCAAGTAAGAATCAAGGCAGGGTTATTCATGAGTTTCTTTGGCACCACCTCTTCCTTTCCTGATCTGTTAATATTTCTTGCATTTCCTCAATTTTAGCTATGCATTTTTCCACACCATCTCCCTGGTTAGATTCACTCTCTTCTGCACATGAAAATGACACTGCCAAGTTGCTATGGGAACCAACTATAGACTTGCTCCCCTACTCACTCCTGCTTGCTTGAGAGCATTTCCCCCCCTCCCGCCCCATTCCAGGTCACTAAAGAAAACTTGCTGCACAGACAGAAGTGGAAAATATTCCCTATCATTTATAGTAGTGGCAGATTACAGGGAACGACTGTACGGAAGAATTTCAGAGGAAACCAATGTACAAGATATGGAGTGTGGACGTCTGGTACTTTCCCATGACCTTTTAGATTCAAGGTAGTGAATCAGATATTCAAAACATCTCCAGAATACATTCCACTTCATATTCTCTCCTGTCCATCAGAATGTGGGGAAAATAGGAACGGACAGTTTTGGAATACAAAGGTCATGGGGGCTGCTCATGAGCAAGAAGTGCCTGATGGAAGACCAGATGAATCCACAGAAGCTGGCAATGACAAAGGCCACTTAATTATTTTCCTAGGTAACAAAAGGAGTCAAAAGCTGGAGTCCAATTTTTTAGATGAATGAGTTGAAAATAAAAAATTAGTGGAAAGCCACGCCAAATATCCCCCTCTTCCCTGCAATTTT